TCCGTCCGTATACATAAATCTTACAATAACTTTCTGTGATATTTATTTCAAAAGCTTTTATTGAATGGTACGTTTAAATTTGTTTGTTTGTTTGTTTGTTTGTTTGTTTGTTTGTTTGTTTGTTTGTTTTTTCTTTTTTTTTTTTTTGAAAATTAAATTGAACTAATGAACGTTAAATTTTATATCCACGAAATATTAATATTTTGAAATTTGCCAGAATCATATAACGAAACAAATAGCGTAAAAATAGAAAAACGAAATGTAAACGTTTGTGTTATATTTTTAAAGATTAATAATCTATCAAAATTTTCAAGAATTGAATTTATTTAATTTTAATGGATATTAATCAATCTATCACCAACCGTAAGACGTTCTACCAAATCCAGTTGCTATAGCTTGCTTTCCCGGTGGTTGAAAATTCATCTCGAGACAGGCTGGCCTAACATTTGGATTTAATTCCAAAGGTTTATCCAATTCGATCAAACCCAAATCGTGATATTTAGCTGGCAATTTATAATCCGGATGTTTTATTCTACGTATTATTTTTCTCTCTTGCAAGCTATCCTCTCTTATCTCTAAATTTGTCGTACCCACTCGTACCATTAACGCCGGTCCGCTGAAAATTAATACGTTTGAATTACTGATGAATTATTTAATAGAAAAAAAAAAAAAAAAAAATTACGTTTTTGGAGAAAGATATTATTTTAAGAAATAAAAAAAAAAAAAAGAGAAAGAAAAAAGAAAATAAATATTATCATTCACCATAAGAAATTATATATGATCCAGGAATGATTAATTAATTGTATCATGCTAAATTGAATGTTTGAAATTTTTAATAAATTATTTCATAATAAAGTGTTATCTTTGAGAGTAAAAAAGAATTATTAAGAAAGAAAAAGAAATAATAAAAAATATTACTAAATCCTATTGTACCGAACATTAGAGATTTAACAGATCAAGAAATGATCGATTAATTACATCATTATTATTTTTTATAATTGTTCTAAGTATAGTTTGCATAATATGATATTATAGAATAAAAACGCGTATTAATGTGTTTCGAGCCCAAGGTATCGTAACGTTGCGTAACGATCTTTACATTGACTATTTTTTTTTTTTTCAACGCACTATGATACAGGAGAAAATCGAATTAATAAAAAAAAAAAAATAATAAAAAAATAAAAAAAAAAAAAAAAATAAATGAGAGAGCTTACGTACCGTAAAACTTTTTTTGAAAAATTTCATACAATATGTCTCGCACGAATACATCATACAAACAAACAAATACGCACGAGTAACATATAGATATCAGTGACTACTACTGATACGAATGATGAGCTTTGTAACATTAATTGTTAGTCTTCTAATATCACGTTCTCTATCTCTGTTTCACTTTAAACAAAGAGCGAAAGAGCGAGAGAGAGAGAGAGAGAGAGAGAGAAAGGGAAATTATTATTCTTTTTCCTTTTTTTACGATACTAACATTCTCATTTAATTAAGACAGATTTATTACTTCGTTAAATTCTAATCATTCTATTTTTCTCAGTGAATATTTCATTTGCTAATTTCTAACTAATCTCTTTTTGTAGATAATCATTAACTATTGCCGAGTAAAAGGTCGAGAGAGTAAGGAAGAAAGAAAAAAAAGAGAAAAGAAAAGAAAAAGAAATAGCACTTCCTCTCTCTCCCTCTCCCCCCCTCTCTCTCTCTCTCTCTTTCTCGATATAATACTATATAGTTCTCGGGTGATAATGCATGTATATAATCCGATCAATTAGAAAATACATCATCTCGTGACTATGATAATACTTGTCGCGTGATTCCAAACAGTGAGCTGCGGTTAAGATATATCTCTCCGAAATAATACTTCCTCCGCATAACCATGACACATCTGATAAGTTCCTACCAAATCCAATTACAGCCTGTAGATATAAAGAATAATTTCATTAATTGCAATAATAATAAATAATTAATAATGATTACTAACGAGAGCAAAAGTTTCTAAACTATTTTAAAAATCGATCATTTTTAACTAACTCTTGTTTTTTTTCTTCTTCTTCTTCTTCTTCTTCCAATCGTAAAACTACAAACCGAGCTGAACAATTTTTGCAAAAACAAAAAGAAATCAAACATAATTAATCGAAAAAGAATAATTCATTTTTAAAATCATATATATATATATACGAATTTTTCATCAACGCCCTCTTTTTATTGCATACGTGAAACTATTATTATTATTATTATTATTATTATTATTATTATCATTATTATTGTTGTTGTTATTGTTATTAATTTTATGATAATTCATCTAAAAAAAAAAATTGATCTGACGGCTTTATTTCTTCACTCGAAATAAATAAAATACAAGACATATTTTGTATCTATTCGATTTGTTTTCGTTTAATATTTAGAATTTTATTATTTGGAATTTTCACTCACCATATGCGGGAATTCGGCCATTTTAGCTTTAATACCACCAACGATCAATGGTGTCCCGACGATAGCACAACGAGAAACAACATTGAAACCGGCTCCGATTCGAAGAACGGGCGAAGGTTCAATTTCATAAACCAGTTTGCCGTATTCCTCGCATTCTATGGAAAGATCGTCGCAATGAGAAATGTTTGTAAAACGAGAGAAAAACTAATCGAAGAATATTGTGTTCTTGTGTATTGAATACAATGTATTGTATTCAATGAAGAAGTGTATTGAATACAATGTCCCAGATAATCTTTTAATCACCAAGATAACCAAACTATAACGGGTTACTTACAATGGTTATTAATAGTTTACAAACAAATTTTACATTTTATTTCACATCGAATTTAACGCTAATTATTAAAATCAACTAACATTAATCGTGTATCATTATTAATGATGAATCGTAAATGATGATTTTTAAAATTTGAGAATCGCTGAATGAAATAAATTTTCAATTAAATTAAACTAAATTAAATTAAATTAAATTAAATCAAATCAAATGTAAAAACGAATAAACGGATCATTTTCACTTTGTTGAATTGAAATTGGCAACGTACAAGGCCATACATATTTTTTAGAATTAATACGTTAAAGGTTAAATAAATAAGATGAGAGAATGATGATTTATAAAATTTGAAAATACATCGATTGGGATGAAATTAAAAATGGATAAAATATAAATGGACGAACTCTTTTCACTTTTTCGGGCACTCGCAACGATGAACAATATCTTCCAATGTAATGCGAAAAAGAAAACAATGCCGATCGATAAAAATTGTCGTCGAGGATCCATATCGTTGGATAGCGAACAATATCACTGTACCGTAGTTCATGCTCTCGAGATCTACGATTAAATGGAAAGGAGAAATCAAGTTAAAAAGTAATTTCACAAAACGATCCTTTCACGTTTTACACGATTCTTCTAATCTTGATCGTTAATCAAAAACGATATCGTTAACGAGCATAATCACAAAGAACCATAGAACATTAATGTTAACGAGCAAAACGAACAATATGTGTATATGTATATATATATATATATATATATATATATATGCACACACACACATATATGGATACTTTCATACATATACAGGATGTCCAAAAACTATAGAACTAAATTACGTGTTACTGAGATCAATTGGATATAATTAATACATTGTACAAATTTGATCTCATATTTTTTTATACATATATGATTTCCAAGTCATTACCTTAATTAAAAACAGACCAGACTTGTGATTAGTTTCCTACGTTGTTAGATAGCTCAAATAGTTCGACATGCTGTTTTCAATCATAAGATAAAAAACTGGGCAATATGGTCGATTGTGAATTCATATTAATAGTCGGATGGACTTTATTATCGATTCCTAATGGACTTCTCACGTTGACTTACATCTTGGTTAATTAATTTTTCTTCTTCTTTTTCTTTTTTTTTTTTTTCTTTAGAGATTTTATCATAAAAAAGAAAAAAAAAAGAACTCGTTATTACGTCTCGTAATAATTCTATGAATTGGCATAAAAATTAGCGCGAGAAAAATTGATAAATTATACCAGAGAAGTCAGAGATTAAAGAAAGGATAAAAAACAGATGCACACGTGATCTAATATTAAATTCATAAATTCATAGGATTGACTTTAAAATCCCACGAATCAAATCTGCTTTTATATCGATCGATTTTTTTTTTTTCCTATAATTTTTCCGTTAATCGTACGATAAATAAATTATTCGGAGTTCGCGTTAAAATGATTAACAGAATTATTGAGATAATTTCTATAAGAATGCAATGCAAATGACGCACAATTTATTTTCGAACATGCTAATCCATTTATCTATCCAGCTAAATTCAATATTGAAATATAAATGGCCGAAAAGAAAAACACTATTATACTTGTAAGTAATTGTATCGTACGAGGAAACGATTTTTTTTGTTTCGTTTTGTTTGTTTTTTTCTTTTTTCTTTTTTTTTTTTTAAGCAAAATTCTTCTATGTTTCAGATAATTTAGATTATTGCTTACTCGTTAAATATGCATAAATCATGAATATTAAAATATCCTCGATGCGATCCCGAAGGTTATATATAATGTATACATAAGTGTTTACAGATGATTAATTAATACCCTTTCCCATTGAGATAATTACAATCTATAATTTGACAATAGTGTTATATTCAACAATGAAGTCACACATATCCCAATGAATTATCCCATTGAAATCATTCAATTTTCAAATTAATTAATTTTATCTTTATTTCGATTTATTTCTTTATAAAGCGAATTGAAAAAGAAGAAGAGAATGTTTTGCAAAAAAAGAAAAAAAAAAGAAAAGGAAAAAAAAGAAAAGAAAAATTAAAAAAGAAGAAAATGTAAGATAAAATCAACTTAAGAAGATATCCACATTTTTTATCAAATATAATATACGTAATTACCTGTGTACTTAGTTTTGCGATATGAAAATGCCATTTATTCATAATCGACATAATTACATGTCTTATCTTCGAGGAACGTCTTTTAAAAACATTCCTTCTTCCTCTTAGGGAATATCTTTTCTCTCTCTCTCTCTCTCTCTCTCTCTCTCTCTCTCTCTCTCTCTCTCTCTCTCTCTCTTTTTGTATATTTTCTTCATTTTTCTCAGCACAAACAAGTCATTATTTTTTTATATATAGTTCATAAAGAATCATAATAAAATTTATCTTCGATTAAGATTAATAAGAAAAATTATTTACATATATCTTTGAAGATTGTATATTCTTCCTCGAAAGTTTTTTCTTTTTTCTCATTTTTGCCCATCTCCTTCCTCTTTATTACAAAGGAAAAAAGAAAGAGATCATAGGATATAAGGCAGAAGATAAAGTGAGACAAAGAAATAAAAAGGGAAGAATAAGGAAAAATGAAGACCTGACGTATAGACGTCAGAAATTTTCAAACGAGGAAATTATGATAGAAATAGGAAAGGTAAGTTTTGTATAAATGGATGATCCATAAGAAAGATTAAAGTACTGTCGTCATTTAAAATACTGATTAATGATACGCACGTTCTATTCTCCTACCATCCTGTGTTACGAATGATGTTTTATATCTTCTCCAATGTTGGAATCGTGGTGGGGCAAATAGGAATGTTACCAAGGTTAATAAGGAAGAAGTTGTGGCAGAAATAACAGTAGTAACGACCGATTGCTACGACTTGGAAGCAACTTTCCAACGAAAGAACTGAACAAGAGAGAGAGAGAGAGAGAGAGATAGTAAGAGAGAATTCGACGTTTGTGCGAATTTAGTTCTCTTGTCTTTCATGAAAATGTCTTTCGTGACTTTAACATCAATCAATATTATCGTTCATTTTATCTTGATCTTTCATCGTGCACAGGGACAACTTTACGAAGGTAAGAATTATTCTTTTATATTCTGAGAAAAATAATATTGTGCGAGATCGTGCGAGATAGCACGAGTTTACTTTTTCTCTTTACTTTTTTTCTTCTTTTTTTTTTTTTTCTTTTTTTTTCTTATTAAAACATGAAGTCACGCATTTAAAGAAAGTTTCCTTCTTTCCCAGATTATTTCATATTTGTGATAAACGTGAATCGCAATTCAAAATCTTGTCAATGTTCTTTCTTTTCTTCTTCTTTCTTTTCTTTTTCTACAATTTATAATTCAAAATGGTATGCAATCGAAAAGAGAGATGTTTAAAAAGATTTATTTGAGAAAAATTTTTTGTCCATTTACTTTTGTGCCTTATATTACTTGCACAACTGTAAAGATTTCATCAACTTTCAATCTGCGATAACGTTGAATAAATATTAATCAAATCTGTGTGTGTGTGTGTGTGTGTGTATATATATATATACATATATATTATATATATATTATATGTACATATATTTTTTTTTTTCATCGTTTCTTTTTCTTATTTGGAAAAATTAATCGTCCAATTAAGAATTATCGAGGATCAAAGTTTTTTTTTCTCTTTTTTAATCATAGCACGTTCCTTGTGGTTACACTTTTTTTTTATTTTTTTATTTTTTTTTTTTTTTTTATTTATCTTTTTACTTTTTCATTTTTCAGGAAGTCAATGCACGACAAACGGAAAAAACGGTGTTTGTACAATTTTAATAAAATGTACTGTCGTGTATAACATGTTACTATCCGGTAAACCACCTGAAAATATTTGTGGATTTTCGAATTTCGATCCGATTGTATGTTGCCCTAAGGATGAACAATTAAATCGTGATACAACATCAACTACTACTACTACCACCACTACTACTACTACTACTACTACTACTACTACTACAGAAAGGCCAATAAAACCTACTATAAATGAACGAGGTGCTCTTGCTCGAGCAAGTGAGTTATCATTAAATTTATAAATATTGTTTCGTCACAAAAAAAAGTAAAAAATAAAAAACGAACAACAAAAAAGACAAGAAGAAAGACAATTACAAAGAAAGTCATTTATAATTAATAATTTATTAATTTATATTTAAAATATTTATTGATAAAATGATAATATATTTGTGTCTGTCTGTGTGTGTGTATATATATATATATATTATAAATCGTTTCTTTCATAGAATGTCAAGAATACTCTCAGTATGTCTACGAACTTCAATATCCACCAATTTTAACGGCCAATGCAAAACCAATTAACGTTTCGGTATGTGGTGTTAAGGGTAAGACATTGATAGTAGGTGGTACTATAGCACTTCCAAAAGAATTTCCTCACATGGTTGCAATTGGTTATGAAAGTAGCGATGGTATTCTTTGGAACTGTGGTGGAAGTTTGGTTTCCGAGAGATACGTTTTAACAGCCGCCCATTGTACATATTCACAAGATTGGTAAGTAGAATTAAAGGAAGATCGTACAGATTAAATTAGAAAAAAAAAAAAGAAAAGAAAGAAATAAAGTTGTTTCTTTCTTTTCTTTTTTTCTTCATTTTTTTTTTTTGTTGTTTTCAACCGATAATTTTTCTTTAAATTTGATTAAATCAATTCGAAATTTTGTAAATCGACAAATCTAAATTGTCGTTTGACAGGGGTGGCGCTAAATGGGCGAGAGTAGGCGATCTGAATCTTGCACGAATGGACGACAATGCAAGACCAAAAAATTACAGGATAATCAAAAGAATTAGAAATCCAAAATACAAAATACCTTCGCAGTATCACGATATTGCACTTTTCAAATTGGAATCCAACGTGGAATTCAATGCATACGTTAGACCTGCTTGTCTTCAAACTACTTTACCTGATGCACCTGAAAATAAAGCGACTGCTACCGGTTGGGGTTTGGTAGATTGGCGTAAGTATCTATTAAATTGAAAAAAAAAAGAAAATAATAATAATAATAAAAATAAAAAAAATTCATAGAGATAATAACGAAAAACAATTCGTAGAAAAATGTTAATTATAAATATATGTGTGTGCGTGTATATATATATATTTTTTTTGTTGTTGTTAATTATAGAAGACGAAACTGGGTCGGATAATTTATTGAAGGTCACATTAGATATCGTACCCCAATCATCTTGCAATACAAGTTTTAACGACGGTATAGATATTCAACTATTACGTGGCATCGTTGAAGATTGGCAATTATGCGCTGGTGGAATAGGCAAAGACACTTGTCAGGTAAATGAAACTATTTTCAACAATGAAATAGAATGAGTTATGTTCTATCTAATCATTCACTTGTAAAAATTTTAGGGCGACAGTGGTGGTCCATTGGCAATTTTCAATAACGAACATTTTTGTATGTACAATATCATTGGCGTTACGAGTTTAGGAAGATTATGTGGTACCAATATTCCAGGAGTATATACTAGAGTTTACAATTATATACCTTGGCTAGAAAATGTGATATGGGGTGAAAATAATTGATAAAAAATATTGTATTGACATAGAATAAATGCATCTTTTTTTTTACTTTATTATTAATATCGAAATGTGCATCTAATACGTTCTTTTTTATATTCTCTCTCTTTCTCTCTCTCTCTTTCTGTCACTCGAACAATTTATTTGAGTTCAAATTTATTTCAGTTCAAATAAATGATGATACGAAAACCAAACGTTGATCACGAACGTCAAGAAATTTTATTGGATCGTCCATTTTATTTTTATTTTCTTTCTTTCGTTTTTTTTTTCCTCTTTCTTTTCTTTTTTGCCAGATCATTTAAATAATTTATTTTAAATATATATTGAAAAGAAGAAAAAAAGAAATGCTTTTGATCCTTAAATTTATCTTGAATGTAATAATATAAGAAAGAAATTGTAAAAATATATATATACATACACACGTATTGTATTATATACATATATATATATATACACATATATATATATATGTATATATATATAAAAGAAAGGTAGACATTTCAGAATATATTCGACATTGATCTTTAGACGCGCAAGCGCCGCCAGATTTTACCTAGTTCTGTATCTATCTCGGTCGGCCGTTTCGTTGTTTCACACGTTTCAAGAGAGAATGAGATAGAAAGAGAAAAAGGGAGAGAGAAGGAGAGAGAGAGAAAGAGAGAGAGAAATAGGGAGAGAGATAGGGAGATAAAGTGATAGAGAGAAAAACAGAGAGAAAGAGAGTGAGAGAGAGAGGGAGGGAGACTGAAGAACTGGATCCGTTTGTTCCTTCGGAAAAACGTTCATTGAAAACATCGTTGATCTTTAGATCAAATTTCAATAGGGAACAAACTGTTGTGGTGTACAACATAAACGAATCGATTGGATACAATTTCTTGTTTGATTTCTATATATATATATATATATATACATATATACATATATATCGAATATATCGACGAAAAGCATCATAAATAGTACGTCGTATTTTTTTTAATAATTGTCTTATGCACTCATAGAAAAATTACAACAAGTTGAAATAATTTTATATATTTGTTATCATATATTAAAAAATAATAATTGTGGTGTTAATCGATTGATATAAAAAGTGAAATTTGTTTCTTCTGTTTTTTCTTTTTTTTTTTGTTTTCCTTTTCTTTTTTTTTTTTTTTTTTTCCTTTTTTTTTTTTTTTTTTTTTTTTTGTTAACCATTAACATCAATATCATATTTTCCAATTAAATGAAAGGACGAAAAAAATCAAATATATATTACATGTGTGTGTGTATGTGTATGTTTATGTGTATGTGGGTATTTGTTTAGCTCAATTCAATGTCGGCCATCATCGATGCCTGTGGAAACGACACTGGATCACCTTCCATGTCAAAAACGGAAGATAATTTATCGAATAGTGATGGACCGTTGATTAGAAAAAGCGTTCATCAAAATAGTAACAGCAGTCTTCGTATAAGGTGACTATGAAAAAAAAAATATTACTGTTTGTTATTTAACAAAAAAGAAGAAAAAAAAACAAAGAAAAGGAAAGAAAGATTGAATACAAGCGTCTATGCGAGTAATCAAAATATTTTCTCTTCTGTTTTTTTTTTTCTCTTTTTTTTTTCTCTTTTTTTTTTCTCTTTTCTTTTTTTCTTTTAGCTCCGAAAACGTTAATGGAACGACAATCGTCACCTCTCGTGGATCAACACCGATCGGTGAGAAATCAACGAGGAAACGTTACTGCCTCTGGACGTTAACATTTTTCTTAGCAATAATCGGCCTCTGTAATCTATTCTTAAGTATCACGATTATCGCGGTATTAAGAATAAGTCAAGGTATGGAGTCAATGGAAATGATACCCGAAGAAAATCTTGTGAAATTTTATGGTCGTACTGATTTGGACAGAGTAACGTAAACTTTTATCAATTTTTTCTATTTTTCTTTTTTCGTAAAACATAAAAAATTAAGTCAATTAAATTAATTTGTAATAATCAATAACTTTTTTATATATATATATATATAAATATATAAATATATACATATATATATCATATTCCTAGATTTGTTTGCAATCCGGTGTATGCCAAAGTTATGGTGACGAGCCAATGGAGATATCATCCGACGATGCTGGTATTAGAATCGACGTGAACGATAAATTAAATCCTGAAACATCGCAACGTTCGCAAGTTGAAATACTTCCAAATGGTACGAGGATTTCTCAAGTTCGTTCGTTCGAAATTAAAGATTTTCGTACCGGTGCTATATACTTTACCACAGACTATCCAAAATTTGGTCTTCCAAGTGGTGTTGATAGAATAGATGTCAAAATAGCACAGACCCATAGAATTACATCGCCTGTTAACGAAAGCCTTGGGATCAATTCGGACGATCGAATTTCATTGCACGGTGCCGAAGGGATCAAAATGGAAAGCAAAGATATTTTTTGGAATGCAAGTAACGATGTACTTCTTAAAAGTCTTAACGGGAGTATCATATTTGATATGAAAAACGGTGTTATCATTGATATTAATAATATACCTGTTGTACCGATGTTCATACAAAATCCTACTGATCAAGAACAATTTAAAGTATGCATTTGCATGCCCCAAGGTAAACTCTTTAAGGTTCCTGTACGTGCCGGGACCAATCTAAGATCTGCCAATTGTGCTCGAATCAGTAGAACTCCGGAAAATGATCCCTGTTTACGATAAGAACTTTTATATACATATATATATGTATATATATATATATATATATATATATATATATATATATATATATATATAATTTATAGCCTTTAGATGCTTTATTCAATAACGGGTTATGCTCGGAAAACCACAAAGAGAAAAACAAATAAGATCATATCATATTTCTAAGATGTTCTATATCAATATATCTTGGAAAATTTCATATCCTTTTAGCTAAATTAATCAAATCATAATAATTAATTATTAATCGACAAAAGAGAATAACGATACGACGATCTTGAAATTTTCGTGTCGCTGTTACATATCAAAAAAAAAAAAAAAAATAAAAATAAAAAAATAAAAAAAAAAGAATGGCAGAAAAAAAGGAAAATAGATCTAAATATTAAATAACGATATCATGTGTAACATAACAAAAATTCTTGAATGAAAGTGCAGTACATACTTTTATTTCATCGGTCAAAAAATGCAATGACTTAATTTCCATATAAATATAGAATTAATACATATATTTATTAATATTCTAATATGAATGGATTCACGATGAATTAATAATAATACCGCTGTTATAAAATAAATCTTTTTATCATTCGTCATTAATACCAAAAGAGAGAAAGAGAAAGAAAAAAAAAAAGAAAAGCCAGTACTTTTTAAAATGTATGATACGTTATACGAATAAACTTTCGTGACAAAGAATTATAAAAGTCATTCTTACGTCTTACAATGAAATTTATGAATTATTCAAATTATACATTTTCTGTTATCATTTCTTCATTACTTTCTTCCATATCCTCTTGTTGTTCCTGTTCTGTTGGAGGCTCATATGCTTTATCTAAAGGACTAGCAACAACACCACCAGCCCATACACTCATTTCAACGGCTAGTTTATTTGTACCTTCTAAAAGTGGCCTATAACCTCCGTGAGCTAGAACACGTAATAGTGTTTGTGCGGTCAAACACACTAAATCCTGTTGCTCTAAGGTCATGGCTGTATGAACACGGATATTACCACCTTCGCAAGGATCAGATATACCTAATATACAAATATATATATATATATATATATTATAAAATATATTAATATTCATATATTATTTCTTATAGAAAGATATATTAACTATGTTACATACCAGCTGATCCTGGAAGAAATAATCCAGAAGCAAGTAATTGAAGTACCCTTTTATAAGCTTGATTTATTGGCAATGCCTGTCGACTTGGATTATTCATTATTGCATTATGTGCGAGTAAATCGAGCATCCAAGGTGACAATGGTTCTAAACCTTCAAACCTACTTCGAAGATCTCTAAGTAATCTAATCAGAACCTTGATACTAGAATGATGGGCATTCTCTTCGAACCAACGAGAATGTCGAATTGCTGCCAAGTGTCCTAAAAAAGGTAGAAAAATAAATGAAAACGTATTTCTCGACCGTAGGTAATGGAAAAATTAATCTCTAATAATCTAATCACCTTGACAAATCTGTACATCCAAATGTTGATCTGATTCCAATTTACGCAAATTTTGATGCAACGTTGTTATTAATACCCTTACAGTGGCCTCGTTATTAGCAATATCAAAACCACGTTCTGTTTGTACAAGTCTAAAGACTTCTTTAGGATTTCCGGTCTTAAGATCGTTATTGACTTTTGTTCCAAGCGCTTCCACTGCAGTTTTAGTTGGTAATGTTTTAAGAATAACAACAATATCAGCAATATTATGACCTTTGATCATTGTTCCTTTTTTAAAACTACCAACTTGTCTAACTTCTTCTAATTGCTGCAAATACAAATCTGCTTTTATTTTTTGTTCATCTAATAGAAAATAGATTGTTTTCATAATAATAATAATAATAATAATAATAATTAATATAATAAAATTTTATATACACAAGCTTCAAAAGTTCCAGGCGCAACGATCAAATTATCCAAAACACTTTGCAATTTTGTTACTAAATTCAAGATAGAAGTCTGTTCCTTCGGGGTTGGACACATATCAGCATTTTTTTTCAAAAGAGCAGATTGAAGGTCTGATTCGTCTGGAGCAGGTTTCACACGAGGGAATGCAGCTTCGCATAATGTATAATCAAATGGATGTCTTGGTAGAAATTGTTTTCGTGGAAATCCCATTCCACGGCCCATACCTCCTCTTCCACCTCTGAGCATTCCACCGCGTCCACCTCGTACCATTTTGTATCTGCAGGATTAAAAAAATATATACTTTAAATTTCTATCTCATTGATTTTAATAATTATACAAATTTTTGTCGAATCAATTTATATAATACAACGTTATATTGTACTATCTGTTTTTGGATATATTATTTTTATTAAATCTAACAAATTTTGCAATAACAAATATTCAATCTTTAAAATATAAAATCTTTTTAAACGTGATGAAACTTTTTATCTTTTAATATCAGGAAATCGGTAAAAGATATGCGATTAAATTCAATAAGACGCGTCAAAAACCTAACCTATAATGAATGTAAAACTACGTATTAACCAAATTTTATCACGTAAATGAATTTTTGGATTTACCGTTTATATATTTAAATTAATATATAAAATAAATAAAATATATTATGCGAAATATATCTACTTAATGTTAATTTTTTCACAATATAGACACTTCTATAAAGAAAAACACTAATGCCGGTTTTGTTAATATGAAACGTACTTTACGAACACAGTTGGAGTAAGATTTAAAAAAATGGCGTTCTTGTGTTCGTAAACATATCAAAAGAATTACTGTATAATCAACGATGTCATTTAATTGTATTTAGTTAATTATAACAAATTAATTATTAAGTACCTTTCAGATTTTATATAAAAATATTATTCTTCTATTTTTTATAAATAAATTGCATTATGATAGATGCAACAGATAAAATTGATAAAGCATGTCAAGTTCTTTCTCAAGAAGTTAAAGGTTTGTATAAAATTAACAAAAGGTGCGACATGAAAGGCAACTTATATATAAATTTTGTAAAAAAATTAAAATAGCTATATGTGTGTAATTATTATGTATAATATTTTTGAGATTAATAAGATTTAATATATATCATTGATACATTTATACATGTCATATGCATTTATACATTTATTTTCATTTTATAGAGCTGTACCTAGGAAATGAAATTGCAGAAATAAATGGTACAATTAATCCTTTAATATTTTATCGTGATTATGTTTCCAAAAATTTACCAGTAGTAATACGAAATGGTGTTGAACACTGGCCAGCTGTAAGAAAATGGTCTATAAATTATCTTCGAGAGATTTTAGGCGATAAATTAATTTCAGTAGCTGTTACACCTAATGGATATGCTGATGCGATAACAAAATGTGTTTTGGAAGGTATAACAAAACAATATTTTGTTATGCCAGAAGAACGTTCTCTTAAAATGTCTACGTTTTTGAATACTCTTGAAAATCATGAATCAGAAAGTATATTTTATATCCAAAAACAGAATTCTAATTTCAAAGATTTCAATGAACTTTGGAATGACACAGAAACAGATATTTCATGGGCTACAAATGCTTTCGGTAAAAAGCCTGATGCCATTAATTTTTGGATGGGCGATCACAGAGCAGTAACATCCAGTAAACATTCTTTTCTTTCTTGGAAAATTAAAAATTTTTTAAAGTAACTATTGAAATCATTTGTAATATATACGTGTCCATAATTTATAGTGCATAAAGACCCATACGAAAACATATATTGTGTAGTGTCAGGTGAAAAAACTTTTATTTTACATCCACCCACGGATTTACCTTGGATCCCATATGAAAAATACCCGCCTGCTGTTTATAAAGAAATAGAACCTGGAAAGTGGACTATTGAACCGGTTAATATAAAAAATAATGTAGAGTCAGAATATACAGAAATTTTTGACACGATACCATGGATAAATATTGATCCTCTTAATCCAGATTATAATAGGTATTTTTGTTTTTCTAATTAGTATCATCGCTATAAAATTCATTGTGATAATAAATATAGAAAATATATTTAACTACAATAATTACTTACTTATAGATATCCAAAATATAAAAATGTACAAAGATTAGAAGTGACAGTAAAAAAAGGAGATATATTATATCTTCCTTCTCTCTGGTTTCATCATGTAAGACAATCTCATGCGTGCATAGCTATAAATTATTGGTATGACATGGAATTCGATATAAAATATGCATATTTTAAAGCACTCGAGGTATTAAGTCAATGAATATAAAACAAAGATTAAATGTGAAATATTAACATATATAAGGTTAATACATAAATAAATAAAAATAATATACTCTCATGGAATATTTATTTAAAGTCAGATTATTCTGAAAATTTTTATATGATAAATATTAATCCTCTTAAATCAGGTTATGATTTAGAACTGTTCATCAATTCTGATTTTATAATGGAATATAATAAATTATTATTTAAACAAGAGGACGTTTGTTTAAAAATTACGTAGTTCTTAATAAACTTTGAATTTAAATTTATTTTAATTCAATATTCAAATAGACAAATTTTCAATTTGAAATCCTTGACTATATAAAATATTAACAAAAACGATGAAATAAATTTCAACAATTATCGAAACAATTTTATTTTTCATCCCGACTAGTAAACATCAAAATTCATTTTTTCCATACGGCTATACTTAAAATAATTTATATTTTGGATAATTTAATGATAATTTGAACAATACGTAACCACTTACTTGGGATATAAAATACTCGTATGTATATAATAATATTTTGATCCAATCGTATTAAAATAATAATAATCCCACAACATTATAAAATTGAAGATAAATATAAAATAATTTTAATTTAAGATTCCTATAGATGTAAATGTTTAACTCAAAAATGTTAACACGCAAAATTATCAAAAACGATCTTTTGACTAACTTTGACGATTTGCGAAATCGTATTCTTTTGTTTTATTACGACGAGTAAACATCAAAGCTCTCTTTCTCTCTCTCTCTCTCTTTCTCTCTCTCTCTCTCTCTCTCTCTCCTTCTCTCTCTTTCTCTCTCTTCTCGAACGAATAAAATCAACTAATTTATATTATCGATTATTTTATTATTATTTTAACAATATATAATGTACGCGGAATACGTTGAAGTAATATTTAAACAATAGTACATTCGTTTGAATATTAAAAAGATGAAAACGCATGATAAACTTAAAATTTTTCCAATTTTTTCAAATTGTATATTATCGCTCTTATATACAGGATGATACAGAAGTAAATGTTCATGGGTGCGATTAAAAGTCCTACAGTTCGTTTTATTTACTCGAAACTTCGATTAGATTATCTCGTTAACGGGGATTTTAGAATAGAGTAACCATTAATCCGTGGATCTCCAGATGCGGCAAATCTCCACGTGGTAAGACCTAAGTCGATATATCAAAATCTTAATTGAAATTATACAACGCAAATATTATCGAGCAAATAGCTGCATATTTATATCAATACTTTTTCCAAATCTTTTCTTTCTAATTCTAACTAAACATTATATTTATCGTATTTCAATAATTTAATTTAATTTAAAACAATTTATTTGATTGCAAAGAAAAATTATTTCGCAAGCACAAGTGCTCTATAATCTAAGATATTTATTACGTGCTATCAGCAATAATTCTAAGTCTGTTGTAAATTTGAAAACAATATTTTATTTTTATATTGAAGAACATAATGATCGTTAATTACATAATTGAAAAGGCAAATATTGAAAGATCAATGCATTTATGTTATTTCTAGGATCTAAAAATATGATCCCATTTAGATTAGATCTTTAATTAAAGTATCCCTTTGAAGTGAAACGTAATGCCTATGCACTATTGTCATACATCACGTTGATTTTGACGATCGATGTTAAACGTCAATTCAAACGTTTGTTAAATTTATCGATCCAATGATAAAGCCGTTAAATCGATATCCTTAGAAACTGCTCCGCTTATTTCTTTCCAATATAAAATCACCATATCTGATTCTTTGGGCTCGATAATAATTGTTTTAACGTTAACATTATTTCCTGAATTAGTTGTCATTAATGATGATGGTTCTGATTTGATAAGACGTATAATAAAAAAGTAAAGCATTTCGATTAAACTTATTATACTAATGCCCAAAAATAAACTACAGATTCCTCCATAATTACCTAAAAAGATGATTAATAAATAATAATAATAATAATAATAATAATAATTTGATATTGAAAAAAATGACATATATTAAATTATTATACTTACTCATGAGTTCATACCAATACAAGAACATATCTTGTTTTATTCTTGTTGTACCAGAAGATCCAAAATAAATATGTACTAAGCTGTGATTATTCATACGAGTTTTTTTCCTATATAAAATATATATATTTAATTAATATGATTTACGATTCAATTCGATATTTTATTCCTTCATTTTTCATATTTTTACCTATTCCAAAGTAAATATGGAATATTTAATGGAATATCGCTGATAGATACGGTATAGGTGATGTCCTCGCAAGATGGAAGACAATCGCATTTTATACAGCATGATCCATTTGGAAGTTTTCTTTCGTGAAATGATTCCATGAATTTTTCATATCTAGGTTCCAGATTTAACCATCTGTCTTTAATACGAGGATAAAGTTTTAAATTGATTTTAAACATTTATAAATGTACATACATAATATAAATAAACATATATATTTTTTTTTTTTTTTTTTTTTTATAAACCTTTATACTTCTTCAAACATAGGAGGTCTTTGAGATTACAATTTCTTATGTTAGCTAAGAAAGAGAACGTCATGAAATGAATTAATCCAAATTAAATCTAAATTATCTGATTATCTCAATTTAAATATTTCTTATTAATTAATAAATCTTTTCATACCCATATCCGAAGTAATAGGATAAAAGAAAGGAATGCATTTACAAAAGGATATAATATCTTGTGTACGACAATGGGATATACAATTCGTATAGGAATAATATCCTCCGAATATTTTTGCTTGTTCCGTGCTAAATAAACAATCCCTTTGATTGATATCATAATCAATAACGTCCTGCAATTAAAGTGAATTTATTTTATTAGAAATCTTTAATTCATTACGATGACTTACTGGCAATGAATAAAAATTAATTGCGTTCAAGTTCAAAAACATTTCTACTTTCGGTGGAACAAAGACCTCACGTACTCCACCATTAACTGTATTGGGATAATCAAAAGATGAATATATCAATATCTGTAAAAAAAAAAAAAAAATAATATCTTTAATTTATATAAAATAGCGATAAGTTAGAGAAAAATTTGTTCATTAACATACCTTCAAACCTATTATTGGAAGTAATTTATAAGCATAATCATATAATTGTGGATTTAATAAAACAGATAATCCATATTCTGAACCTGTTTCCTTTGAACGTTCTACCATTTGTGATGCAAATGTAAAAGAATCTGTGCTGTATATGAATAAGATTTTTTTTTTTTTTTTTTTTTTGAGATATTCAATTGAATTTTACGAAAGGAATATACGAAATACTAACTCGCCGAAATCATTAAAACGTCGTGCGGAATTAAACGTACAACAATAGCCGTCGCTGGTTTTTTTTAAAAAAAATATTTCATTACAATCTTGATCCTTACCGTTCCAAGAACACTGCCATACAAATGATCTACATTTTGGTAATAGCTAGGATAAAAATTAAAGTAGATAAAATATAAATTATATATAAATATATATGTCTATTTTAATTTGTGATATAAATTTTTAATACCCTTTTCATTATTCTCTCAACATTGTAACCATTGTATACACGGTCAAGTATACTGTGCAATAAATATATTCTTTTTAAGTCATCCTCGTGGATATCGAAATGATAAAAATTACCCATGATAGTTATCATACTTGTTAATTCTTCGACGGTCAAATTAAAATTATACTTTATAGTTTTAAAATCCAAACTATGATAATATGTACAATGAAATAATTTATATACTATTATACGCGCAATTATATGATTATAATCTAATACGTACAGTTCTTTCGCAAGATCTATAGCATACGATAAACTAATTTTATTGATACTACAAATAGATATAGCCGGATAATTAATTTCTTGTATCGGATATTTATCGGTTTCAATGGTAATTGCCGTTGGACTATCTCGATATTCCAAGGTCATGTCGTATATTATAAAAGACATGCTGATTATTATTATTATATAAACAATTAACCAGACGATTCTATGAAACGTAAATATTTTTTTTCAATATTAGTAAGATAAATTTTTACGATTGATAATGGAAAAGAAAATGGTAATGAAAAAAAAAAAAAATAAAAAATAAAAAAGAAAGAAAGAAAAAGAAAACAAAATTCACTCGAATTTACGTGCAATATAATTTCAATGATTTATACTTCTCTATTGGATGTTGATAAAAGTGTGTATAGTTCGTATAATTTGCATTAATGCTTTCGAGGAACGAATCGACAATTGTATTTTTAATAACGGAGAAATTTCTTAAACTTTTCAATGTATGAAAATTTCCAAAGAATTTCCATCTTCCTCTGATCGAATTTTTAATTTTAAACGTCTTCATGATTACTTGGAAATTAATATTTTCTCTTAATTGTACGGATAACCGAACTTCTTCGCTATTGAGTTGTTTCGTTAAACTGAATTTGAATAATCTCCTGTTGGCATTCTATTATACATATATGTATATATACTATAATTATTATAAAACGAAAGGAGATATAAATATTAGGTAAATAATTTTATGTTTGCGTGTAAAAAGAGAACGATCACGCGAATAACTCTTTATAACGATACTCATTCGTGTTACCATAATCGTAAATTTTTTATTTTAATGATTCATATCACTTACAATGTCCCCATTTAAAGACGAGTTACAACAATCTCGATCGATCGGCTCGTTCAAGATAAGGACGCAAGAAGAAATCTTTTTCGTTGAATCAAACTTTTTATATATATATATATATATATATATATATATATATATATATATATGCACGTTATTGTATGTATCGATAAAATCGCTTTTACAGATTTCAAATAAAGCTTTACATATAATTCGCCTTTTCGATTTTTAGCAGAAATCGTGTGTTGAAGAAGAAAAATAAAAAACACATACAAACACACACGCGCACGCACACACGTTGACCGATTTTATTAGATACAAAAATTAATGCATTTCGTATAGGCTTAAATTCATAATTGAAAATTAAAATTCATTATTGAAATATTAAAAGTTCCGAAAAATTCTTAATACGTGTATATAATATAAAAATTGAGTAAACATTATTTACAACAAGACAAACGGTATTATAATAACAATTTATACAATTTTATATACCATGCAATATGACTGGTCAACGATGTGTTAATTGGTCTAAAAATTATAGCTAGCATATACAGTTTCAGTTTTTTCTTTCTCTTTTTATCCTTTTCTTTTTTTTTTTTTTTTTTAGACTTAATAGACATTGCGCATACTCCGTAAAATGTAAAATAATATACAAATACATACGTTCAATTAAATTTAATTCGAAATTTACAGATATTAACCCGACATAGAATTTTTTTTTATTTCGAATTAATTATTATCATTCGAAAATATATTGACGGAACACGATATCAATGAAATTTTGAACGATATCAATGAAAAAGAAGAAAATCATGAGAGAGTTTGACGATTAATAAAAACAGAAAAAAAAAAAGAAAGAGAAGAGAAAAAATGAAATTTATACGTAATCGATTTTAATGACATTCTCTCTCTATATATATGTATATATATATATATATATATATATATATATATATATATATATATATATTTTGTTCTTTTTCGGTTTTTTTTTTCTTTCTTTTCTTTTTTTTATTTTTACAATTTTCTCTCATTCATTGAAGCAACACACGCGATTGTGCGACGAGACGCGTAAATATTTTTTTAAACCAGCACGATTAGATGAAACTGACGAACTTATTTAGAGTCTTAAAAGATTCGTATAAAAAGAAAGGCACGATATTTTCTTCTAAGGATCATCGACGGTGTATCTATAGTGTACGTGTGTATACATTAAATACATACATACATACATACATACATACGTAATTACGAGTAAAACGTAATCGTAGTTATATCGGTGCCATTGGACGAGAATGTATAAATATATTTATTTGCCTGTTCAATGAAATCACAAAACGAATCACAGAGATATGTACAATACAATATCTGTCACACACACGCACATATATATATATATATATATATATATATATATATATATATATGTATATATTTATTTGTTTGTTTTTAAGTCTAATCGTGCTGCCAGAATTTTTCAATACTTTTATGCTTCTCACTTTGAGATTATTTAGCAAATGCGAGAGAGAGAGAGAGAGAGAGAGGGAGAGAGTGAAAGAGAGAGATCGATAGATCGTTCATTGTCCATTTTATATAATTTTGGATGAAAAGGCGATGATATCGTTAATTGTTGTAATAATATATTAATCGTTCGAAATCAACGATAAATTATTTAACCCTTTGCACTCTTCTATAGCTAATTGTAAGTTTAGAAATTTCGTCCTTTTTATCATTCATAGATACACATATGTGTATATATATATATATCATTGATATTAATAATACATTATAATTTTTACCATTTAGAACACATACGTTTACATTGGAAATTTTGTAATATCTCACTTTGTACATACGATCCGTTTATTACGAAAGTTATCATTAAGTTATATATTTTTCGTTTTGAGATATTTCGTTCATTTTGAATTTGAATTATTTCAAAATTATTTTTTTATAATAAAACGAAACGAAAAAAGTATATATACATATATATATATATATATATATATATATTTATCTATTTGTTTATTTGCTTTTGAGAGAAAAATAACTATATTATATAAAAAAAAAAAAAAAAAAAAAAGAGAAGCAAATAAATAAATAAAAAATATTTTTAAAATAGTATTTTGAATTATTTTAATAAAAATGAAATATATTTAATTATTTGCTCTTGAGAGAAAAATAATTATATTATATAATTAAAAAATAATAATATTGATAATAATGTATGACATAAAATATGTCTTTTTAAATATCTCAAATAACATAGAAATGACTTTCATATATAATATCGGGTCATATACAAGAGATCGTTATCGTTATATATAATTTTTATATATCTATTAATTATGATAAATCATATTTGTTTTGATTTTTCGAATGAGAGAAGAATTATTGTAAGAAAATAAATGAGTACAAAGGGTCGTTTTCCTCGAGGTAAAGTTTTTAAATATTTAAAACACGACGAATACGAATATCGTCTAATGAATTATTTCGACGTTTTGATCGTATCAATCAAATGGATTTGATTTGAAAATTGCGCATATGCGTGCCGAAGATCTTCGTGTACAAGTTTAAATATTCGATTCTTTGTTCATTTTTTTCTTTCTTTCTTTCTTTCTTTTTTGTTTATTTCTTTTTCTTTCTTTTTATTTTTTTGTCGATAATCTCACGTTACGCACGCTACGTATTATAATACGTTTACATACGTTATCTTTTATATTATTTCCTTTTCTCCTCATACTTTCGTATTATTATTATTATTATTATTATTATTAGTATTAGTATTTATTATTATTAATATTATTATTATTATTATTTCTCTTTCAACAATCAGAAGATTTGTCTATTTTGTGAAATTCAATGAAAATTACATATCAAACATTCATTAGAGAGACACCTCCGAATGTAAGTAGAAAAATGTTTATATCCCCACAATTATTATTACCGAATAAGTTAACAATTTCGTTGTATAGAGCAACGAACCATATGAATTCTTACGGTTAGAGTTTTCTTTTCATTTTCCTTTTTTTTTTTTCCTTTTTCTTTTCTTATATATTTTTTTTTCTTTTCTTTCGTAAGTTAATGATATATATATATATATACATATATATATATATACATATATATATATATATACATATATATATATATATATATATATGTATAAGAAGAAATGTCAGTATAAGAGATATTGCGTGTTACATCCACGTTATATCATCAAAAATTTTAATAAAGTGCTTTTGCCAAAGTAGCACGATCATGTATAATGAGCAGGATCGGTTTATGAGATTGAGATATAAATTGTTTAAGTATATCAAGTAATTCAATATTTTAAATATAACAAATATTTATATTATTCTAATAAAAAAATGTGAATATTATTTTTTTTTTCTTTTTTTTTTTTTTTTCTTTTTTATCTCATAAGCCGAACCATTAACAAAGCTCTCACTTTTAACATTTTTATTATAATTTTTAACATGTCGAAATTTTCTAAGACGCATATAATTTCAATATAATCGAATAGTAAATAGTAAATAACTTATGTTTTCCAACATACTTAACGGATATATTAATGCTATTCATTCAGTGCTTATGCTTATATTCCACAATTTAGCATATAATAATAATAAAATTATGTATCATATGACTAGTCCTATTCGAATTATATATATATATATATATGATATTGAAACATTTTGCCTAGTTGATTGTATTATTAAAGAAATTATTAGCTACTTATATAGTTATATTTACAAATTACCACATTGCCATATTTATATTATCACTCCAATGAAAGAAGTTTCTTGATAAATATTATCGTTCTAAATAAAAATAAGAACGAAACTTTCACATATGTAAAAAATGTGATCAAAATTCTTGCTAAAACTTTTACTTAAATTCTTCATAGAAATAAAATTGAACTAAGGAACATCATGAATGACGATGCATGATCTTCTAAACTATAAAATTTTTTATGTTGCAATATCAATAAACGTATATAACGTGTGTGTGTATATATATATATATATATGTATGCATATATACATATACATAAATGGCATGGCACTTAATTTCTTAAATATACAGATACATTGATATTATATACAAATGAACATTTACAAATTTTTTAAATATTGATACAAAGAAATAGTATCTCAAGTTAAGAGTTTTACGTGCTAATGTGCTAAAATTTTACATATTAGATATTATTTATCTCCTTGGAATATTACATTTCATGCTTTATTAAAGCACCAAAACCAATATTATGTGTTCATACAACAATTATAAATTAATTGGAGAATGTAACTCATATATTAGTGGAGCATGTAATGTATAATTTCTTAATGATACTTCTAAATTTGTACGTGATATTAATGAAATGTTATTAATAATCGTGTTTATAATGATATTCAAATTTATAATGAAAAATACTAGTATTATAATAATATATTTCAAACAGAAGATATTAAATATATTAAATAATATCACTGTGTGATATTTATAATTGGAACACTATGAGATGTTGGATAAAAAAAAAAAAAAAGAAAAAAAAAAAGAAGAGAAGAAAAAAAAACCCGAGAGAAAAAAAGAAAAAACCCAAACCATATTATTAAAATATGAGCGACAAAATTGAGTACCAATTTGTGTGTCAGAATACAATACATATTTTCTACAATTATTCCAAGCTTTACTTCATCTTAAAACACTTATAAGCTATACACAATATATTTTTCTATATAACTAGGCAATTTAGATACAGGTATCAAAGTTCCTCTAAATAGTTGAAATTGTACTAACGCAGATTGGCCTAGTTCCGTGGAACATATCCGCGTGATATGGTTCGCTTATAATGGTCCGTGAAGTCTGAGTCTGACGCAGTAGAAAGTGCGTTATAAGGCCCTATATATACATATACATATATATCTATATATATATGTATATATATGTCAAAATATGATAAAAGTATCCGGCAGTAAAGACAATAAAGCTGAGAATGACAGTAGTGAAGTCGATCCTAAATTGTATCTTTTTTATTTATATTTTTCTTTCTCTTTTTTTTTTTTTTTCTTTTTTTTTTTGTTATTGTTGTAATATATTTTCAATACTAGAGAAAAAACACGAATTAATTAACATTATGCCTAGCATTTTATTATCTTGTAAAATAAATAAGATTACGTAAAAACATTTTACATATATATATAAATAAATATATATATATATATATATAATCTTTGATTTTTCGTTTTCTCATATGTATTTCATTTTTAATAAATATTCGTAAATGTTTACAATTCCTGCTTAAAGCTTTTTAAAAGATATTTAGTTAAAAAAAGAAAAACTTTCTATATGAAATAAAAGCGCTAAGTACTATATATTGAAAAGTAAAATTCCAAATGTATGGTGACACTAAAGTGTTTATAACCATACAAATGTCAATAGTTTATTTATAATATTGTACTACTGTTTTATAACCAATATATATATATATATAAACATATATATGTATGTATATATAACAAACAGTAATACAATAATTTCCTAAGTACAAATGAAGAAGTAGTACATATTTTCGTTATGATCATATGAAAAGATCTCATAAATGACGATTTTTTTTGTCTTTTTCTTCTTTTCTTCGTTTTTTTTCCTTTTTTCTTTTTTTTTTTTTTTTTTTTTTTTTTTTTAATATATATAAAAAGGCTTAACAATTGATATTTTTTTTTTATGGATTAATACGGTTGACATTGTACCACCAAATAGGCACAAAAATTTATGCCATTAGTGAACTCTATATAGCTTCAAGTTCACAAAAGATACCAAAAGTGCTCACGTAAAAATGTCAAATTCTCAAAAGTGCCTTATCTTATAAACAAAATGTATTGTTATGTGTGCATTATATGAACGCATTGAATACACTAAATGATTTTATTAGCGAATAAGAAGTCATGAAAAAAATGATTGTTCAATTGCTCGCAGAGCAATCGATCTAGAAAAAAAAAAAAAAAAAAAGGCAAAGATTTTGCAAGACGGCAAAATTCTTTTACGTTCGCTTCATGCTCTTTAATGTTCGATATTATGATTTCTCTCAAGAAAATGAGAACTCTACGATTCATTGTACAAATTCGATTGATTACAATTAAAAAGAAAAATGTCTAACTAAGAGATACTTAAGCTATAGCCTCATTGAATCGGATCTCTCTCTCTCTCTCTCTCACATACACACACACATACACGCACATGCATGCATGCACACACGCATACACACACACAGTAAGTATAGTGTGTGAATGATGTTTTGGATTACCTCAACACATAGTTTCAGAAGCTGGCGCTGGTACAGTACTCATATTCTTATCGCTAGGATCGGGAGATTCGGCGTCTCTTATCGCAGGTGGCCGTGAAAGTGTTTGCTCAATCTCTCTGGTAACGCTGATTGTAGGTGGTGGTCTACGAGAGTCTTCATCGATCGCAGAAGATCTTCGCAATTGACGATGTTCGTTGGATATGGCAAAGAAATTAGCAGTAGCACCGTCCTCAGGTGGATTACTGGATTCATCTTCGTCCTCTTTGTAACGCCGTTGAATTAAATCTTCCATTTGTTGATAATCGCATTCCTCGGCATCCCTTAAATGTTCATTCTCTATTTGCCAAGCCATCTCAGGATTATTAATTTCCGATACATTTCTATTCCTTGATAATGGAGGAGAAACCGGTGGGGTTCTTGGTGGACTAAGAAGACCGCAATAACTTTCTAATTCGTCAGTAATACTAGTATATTCGGCGCGCATTGCTAAAAGGATTGATCTTTGTGTACTACCGGCCGAAGTTACGGACGATGGAATCACTGCAACGCGTGGTTCTGCCCATGTAACGCCTCTTTGTATATTTGGCGGTGGAATCATTACCACGTCGTCGGATTCAGAACGTGTTCTACTATTTTGTCTAATTGGACGTTCGGTCGAGTCTTGTCTCAATGGTTCCGAAGCAGGAGCTTCGCTACTAACTTCCCTCTCTAATGATACTTCTTTTTTTATCGTCGATTCCACTTCTCCTACATCTTTGCTCACTTCGCTTTCTTGGCTTGCAGTAGTCTTAACGTCTTCTTGAACATTCTGAGGATCAACGATGCTCACAGAGGAATCGTTTCTACTTAGATTCTCACGAGACGTTATAGTTTCAGAATTCTTCAAGGCATCGTCCTCCAATGGTTGTTCTATGTTTAAGAAAGTGGCATCTGTTTGAGAACGCAAAAGTCTTTTACGTCGTAATATGAGACTAGGTAATTGGGTATGAGAGTCAGTCTCTGAAAAAGCATCCGATCTTTCGGAGACTCTACGTTGACGAATGTCTATATCAAAAGTAGGAAATCCTTCGTTGGGCATGTGAGTTGCCATGAAACGATGTATTACGCCAAGATGTGCCAATGTTTGTTCGCTTAATTCTTCCAATTTGCGAATACGAAATTCTACGGCCTAGAAAATTCAATATCAAATATTTAATAAATTTTTATAACATTTTTATACATTTCTTATAGCTTTTTTTCTTTTGCTTCTTCTTTTTTTTTTTTCTCTCTCTTAATCATCGATCGATTAATTTCAATTACCTGAAGCGAAGCATTCTGCGTATGTTCCTTTTTATCAATATCTTCTATTTTCTGATGCATATTTTCAACCCTTTCCGTTGTAATTTTAACCCGTTCTTCGGTAGACATTTGTAATTTGAGTTCTTGCTCACGAAAGTATCCCTCAACGCAATCTTCTTCAAAATCATATAAACGTTCCATATCGTCAGCCTCAAGAAATAGTTTGAGACCATTGTCGCATGTTTCACCTGTACTCCTTTTACCTCGCGTCAGGTGTCTCAATAAATATTTTACTAATAAATATATATGGCAGACCGCGATAAGTGGCGGAGGTAAAACTGGTTTTTGTTCATATTCCATCACAACCGTAAAACGTTGGAACATCCATACTTGATGTGCAACGGCATTAACCTCGTTGAATATATTATTGAAAACCGCGATTAATAAATTTATTAATAATATGTTCGCAACTAAAAGATATACGGACATAACTGCTGGTGTGATCCAACGACCTGGAAGACATTCCGGCATGCCTGGTTCATTTCCACAATCTGGATCTATATTGTCCGCATACACTTCTCCGTAAAGCATGAAATAAGGTTCCATAAAAATCTATAATAGAGAAAAAATAAATATCTATTACATATAAATATTCATTACGAAATAATTTTCTATAAATGCTAAAAAATAAAACACCTACATCACGGACTATTCGCCATTTTGGTTCTGCATTAGGATTTAATATAGCTTGTCTTGATACTCCAAAACTCATGAGAACAACTAATAATAGGACCACGAAATATATCATGTTTTTTACCATTTTTCCCATCATTGTGACCAATGGACCTATTCAACAATAATTATTGTTTACAATTACGAAATACACTATATATATATATATATATATATATACAATAAATTATATTGTAATTAAATATACTTATAAATTGCATATTTTGGAAGTTTCAAAATTACATATATTTAAAATATAAATTTTTAAATAAGACATACCTAAATATTTGTTGACTCCAAGAATATTAAGTATTCTTAAATACCAATAAATACAATCAACGCAATATATAACTCGACCTACATCAAAAGTTGAATGGCGTAATCTCAAAGCAAGTCCGATTTGAAAAAATATTATAGCGGCTGCGTCGCAAGGATTCCACATGTTCCAGGCCCAAACGCTAAATTTATGTGAGAGCTTTGCCGGTTCTGACGTTGCTATTTCGCGTACTTTCTCACATCCCAATGTACAGATGTAAGAAATTGCATAGATTTCTGCTAGCGATGGATGTTCGCCCATTTGTATAAGTATACAATACGAAAATAAAAGTAAAAAGACAATATATGCTATCTGAAAATGAAATAGTCCAAATATTAAAGCAATGTAAAGTTATAAATAAAGAATTAATTATTATTTATATCAAACAAAAATATATTAATTTCCTAAAAGGATTTGCATTAATAAAATCATTAAAAAAATAAAAGTGATCCTTAAATATACTTACAGCATTGGCCCAAAACTTTGTAATTGGTGCTGTATAAAATTCATACAATTTTTTCTTCAATCGTAATGGTCTACTGTTTTTGTTGTCATAATAGTCCGAACGAATGCCATAAGCTCGATGTGTTCCTTCATCATTATCTGCCAATACTTTGCCATTTTCTTGTACAATCGTTTCTTTTACAACTGTTGTAGAATGTTCACTGCTAATTAAAGCCTACACAAAAGCACATTAAGTGTGAGAAATTTCATATGTACAATACAGGACATCACGTATTTCATAATAATAACTGTATGGACATTTTTTTTTTTTTTTTTTTTTTTTTATTTCGTTGACAAAGTAGCAGCAAGACTCATATGAAAATTTGACATATGAATAAACAAAAATTACATAAAATTTTTAATGAAGACGACGACAACATATTAAGCTATTAGTAATATGCATTCATGATTAAATACAAAATAGAAGATGGATAAAATGACAAATTACATTCTAAGATTAGAAAGTTATGTAAAAATAACAGACAATATTTAGATTTTGTAATATGCAGGATATGAAAGGTAGTGACATAAATGTGACAAAACATATTTTCAGGTATCGAGAAAAAGAGAAAACTGAAAAAATATTTACTTTCAATTATATAAACAACAATGGATAGATCGTTGAAAATAATATTATCTTTATGAATTCTTATATAAACACACATTTTTAAAGGAAACAAGATTTATTCAAAAAGGGCTTCATTGGAATATAAAACACATTTGTAAAATGAAGCAGTTACACTAAGCATGCTAACAGTATTATCTAGTTGCAGTTTAGTAAATTGATACTTTAAAATAAATGAACTCATAACAAGGAAGCTCACAAGAAAATTTAAACAATTGTGAAACCTTACTCACATTTAAGAGTAACAAAAAAGGAATAGAATGCAAAATTAATTTTATTTCAAATATATATATATATATATATGGAAGATCTTTTGATATTTCTTGTTTTTTTTTTTCTTTTTTCTTTTTTGATAATTACTTTTATTTCAAAACATAGTACTGATCCACACGTTCTTCTTTAATTTTAATTGGACATTATCACTATACGTTTTCACTACAAGAAAAATTTAGTGGACAAACAAGAGAACATAGTGCGGATAAAATTATGCCTAACGATATGAAGAAACATATAAACAAAAGCAGCCAGAAGGTGCATCAGAAAGTGCATAATTGTTTTTATAGAGAGAATCGCTGCGCTCAGGTTAGTATAAATATACCTTAATGCCTTGATGGCTGCTGCATTTGTTGCGTATGCTGAGGCTCCTGCGCAGACGTTTCTAAAAAATAATTATTATGCATACCCACACAGTCTACGTATTAACAACTGATGAGTACCCTCTTAATGTGTTTAATAACATATGTTTTCAAGCGCTTAGAAAATAGAAATACACTGAAAATAATACAATTACTCATTCAACATAATCTCTATATTCTACTACACATTAATAATACTGCCTATATGTATAATATATATGTGTATATACTATATGAGCAATATGAATAATAATAAATATCGTCAATCTCAATTATTCCAACTTCAATAAAACTGAGTTTTATATTACCTTCGCTTTTAAATTGAGACAATGCAACTTGAAACATTGTTTTTAAAAAGGTTTACTAATTCTTATGGCTCATGAGACAATTTTACAACAAAACATTCCAATCAATACATTCCAAATCGCTCATATCAGGCATTAGTGAGATTTTTAATAAATATTATTAGAGATAATAAATGGTTTAAAATTATAAATGAGGATAAAATTTGTTAATATTAAAAATATTACTTTTAGAAAATATTAAAGATTAAATAAGTTTCAAGGAATAAAATTAAAAAAAAAAAAAAAAAAAAGAAAGAAAAAAAAAAAGAATATTTTTTTATTTATTTAAACGATGAATTATGTAAAGCAATATATAATAATTACAAAAAATATATTTATTAATCGGTATTGGCGAGTAACATTTTCAATATGATAAATATGATAAATATTATTTTGCTTTATGAAAGAGAGATTAAGCTTTTTAAATTTGAATGATAAACTAAAGAAAAAAAAAAAAAAAAGACAAAATGTACTTAATGTTTTTATAGTGCTACTTTAGTCATAAGCAAATAATGTATTATTGTAAATGCAAAGCTTACAGAAGCTACGTGTGCATCCTGTACAATATTGTAACTTTAAAACCAGCCACCAGTGTTCTGAGTTCATAATTAGTAACAAAAATACATTTTTAAGGAAAAAGATATTTCTCTTTAAAAATATAATTATTTTTTTTATCATTATATGGTATAATTATTATAATATAATTATTATTTCCTTTATAAATGTTAATATGTATATATATATATAGAGAGAGAGAGAGAATGAGAGAGATATGAAAAAATTGATACATTGATTTCATTGTAAAAATGATTGAAAAATGAAAATTAATTTTATTTTATGGATGATATATATCTTTTAATTTTCGAACTATTAATATAAAGAAATATATATATATATATATATATATATAAATATATATATATATATATATATATATATATATATATATATATATATATGAGATTAAATATATAAAAATGCATAAACATACTTTTGATAGGACACTTAGTCGCATAGTCATAAAAAATGACTAAGACGCCAGGCACTTCGATAAATTTAACATATATTTACCTCAACATCCGGGCCATTTGATGTACCATGTTCTGAATCACTGTCTTCTTTTTCATCTTCAAGAGCAATCAAATGTTCCTCTTGTGTTTGCGGCATTAATTGTAATTCCTCTCTACTTTTAAATTCCAGCCGTGATATATAAACAGGACACAACAGACCAAGAACAACCTTTGCATAAAGATACACAATTAAAAAATTTTTTTTTTTTTTTTTTTTTTTTTTTTTTTTTTGAGGAAATTCCATTGTGATCCAATTAAATTAAATTAATTTTCATGTTTACCTTTAAATTAGTATTTTTACGAGTACGAAGACCACCCATCCATAAATCTGCTAAAATGATTTGACTACAAGGATGCGCTAAAAGTGGACGATGATTAGCAGTAACTGCAAGTGATAAACAAGTTTGACCAGACCAATTTTGAAGTTCGGATGTTAATAATTGTTGTGTTTGATCATCGTCTTGACGATAGCAGTAATCCAATAACTCCAAAGCTATTTCAACAAAATAAAATATTATTAATAGTTATATATATATATTTTTTTTCAGTTTCAACGAATTAAATTGATCGTACCAATATTTTCAAATTCCTTTCCATAACCACGTAATTCATCGTAAACTTCCGTTTCAAGGTCATCTTCTGCAGCTTCATGAGCCATTGCTTTATATAATTTCAAGGCAACAAGTGCTTTGGCCAATGCTTCTTCTCCATGTTGCCACATTAATAAAGCCATTTGTTGTCTTTTTGTTAATACTGCCCAAATAAGTAATTCATTGAACGGATAATCAAAAAGTGGTGTATCTCTATTAGCAGGAACAGTTTCGGCGAGCAAACTCATTGTCAAACTGTCTGATTTATTACCAGATCCTGAATAATAACGAGTACCAGAACTTAAAACACAACTATTCCGATGCATATGTTGTTGCTGTCCACCAGATCTTTTCATTACTTTGGTATAAATCACACGAAATCTTCTACGTGTATATTGTGCACGATAAGCTCCACCCATGAGTTTGTTGATTACTAATCCAATATCATGTAATGTATACATGTACCCACGTGGAATATTAGGCCGTACATCTCGCAAAATATAGCCTAATGTATTCGATGGGCCTTCTTTCTGATTAATCAAAGAGGAAAAAAAAAAAAAAAAATTATTGATTATATCATAATAGTTAATAATATCTCTTGATATATAAAAATATAAACATAATAATATTCTAAAGTGATAAAAGACCTACTGTGTTATAAAGTTCTTCCAAACGAGGTATGGATAAAAATTTTCTCATGGATACGCCATTTTCCAAAAGTAATTTAACGAAGTCGATTCTATCGTGTTGTAAAGCTTGCATCATAGCTTGCTCCAATGCACCCGGTGGCCATTTTTGACCATATACAAAAATTTCACTACGAGCTATGTCCACTCTATTCCATATTAAAGACAATGATAATTGTTCGGCTGGAGATAATTGTTTGGATTTAAATAAAGCTGTTAATATTGTTTGATCTAATTCTTGTGGTCGATCTTGCGTTATCCTGAATACGGTTATCTGAAAATAAATAACATTATTTATTTTATTTTATTTTATTTTATTTTGTTTTGTTTTATTTTTTCTTTTTCTCTTTTTCTTTTTATTTCGATTATACCGAACGCTCCTTGCTGTCATATCCAATGAGCTTTGTTATAAAATTTATGTTTTATTGAATATCATACCAGATGTTTCTTACGGGTACATTGGAGCAATTCAGAATACAATTGATTTGTTTGTTCAACAGAAACTTTAAAAGTGCGTTTAATGGTTTCCAGAAGATGTTCTCTCATACTTTCCAACGGTCCTTCACCATCTCCAGTTTCACCATCTCCTTCACTAGCATATCTATGAGATTAAATATATTTTTTCTCTTTTTATAGATGAAATATTTTATAAGTATTTAAAAGAATGTTTTAATTAACTTTTAGTTAAGCATTACTTGTGCATAAAAGCGATGAGATCAGCTGCACGTCCTGATCCATCGCAAACAACAACAGGAACTGGAGGAACATCTGTAACATATTCTAATACCGAACGTATCGTGTTTGTTCCTCCTTCAATTACTAATGCCACTACAGGTATGCTACTGTGTGTATCTGTAATAATAATTTTATATTATAAAATTAAAATTATATATAAGTGTATCGTTTATTATGTTTCATTGCTAAAATACCAAATAAGCATATTTCTATCGTACTAGGACTCACACGGCTGTAGTTTTAAATTAGATATATATTTTTCTAATTTTCTACGCAATACAATTTCTGCTCCATATCGACCTTCAGTACCATTATCCACCAATAAAAAGTAAGCATGTCGATTATTCAGAACTGTGTATTTTGTCCTGGGGGAAAAAAAAAAAAAGAAAAAAAACAAATAGGTCTGTTAATATACATATTAAGATATAATTTGTGTCGTAAAGAAAATTATTTTTTTTACCAAGGAGAAGAAAGGCAATCATATGGTACCTCTTCACCACGTCCTATTAATTCATGATTTTTATCTAATACCCCCCATGGAGCTATACCTATGCTTACTACTCGACCCTGTCGTTGTGATCGTTCTAATAGCAATGCATCGCCAACTTGACGTGTAACTCCTAAAATATAAATGTTAATTAAAAAAAAAAAAAAAAAAAAAAAGAAATATTATGAATACGATATTATTAAGAAGAAAGAATGATTACGATGATACCAGTAAGATATTTCTTATTCGGTCAATTTTTTTTTATCAGTCGTCATTAAATTATACAACAAACCTGTATTTGTTCCTCCTGTGAAAATCCAAGCTCCAGTTGTTTTAGCAGCTTTCAATAAACCTTTACGTAAAACTTTTTTCAAACTTGGCTGTAATTCAAAATTTGGTCGACCACCATGAACAGTAATTAATAATTTAGGTAATCCTAAATTCCATTCTCGACACAATAATTGTACTATAGGTTCTGGCCGAGTATCATGAGCTAATCTTACATACTAAAAAGATATTTGATATTGTTATAGGATCATAAAAATATAATTATAAATTTTATATAATATTAATTATACTTGTGCTTTAGTTGGATGTGGTCCACCTTGAAATTCAATAGTACCATATGCATCAGTTGGATAAGGATTTGTATTTTTTCCTGGTGACCATTGCTCACGTTCTTTCTCTATGGAACCACTGTTGGCATAACTTGGGACATCTGCTCCAGTCCCACAATGGTATGTATAAGAATAACCACAACAACATCTGTAATTACAAATTATAGTTATTTGCCTTTATAAACAATGAATTATTTATTTGATAGAGAAGTTCTCAAACCATACCTAATGCTTAGCTCTTTAAATTAAGATTTTATATATATAATAATATTAATATAATAATATAAATATAATATTATATATATATATTTTTTTTTCTTTAAATCCACTTAATTTTCTTACATAATATAATAATTATTTTAATACATACTGCTGTATTGCATTTAACATTTGCGTATGCTATAAAGTATGACATTCCCATAATATACTTTCAGGATTTTCTCAACTGGATAACACGATCAAAAGTTAATTATAACGCAAGAGAAATAATATAAGAATAATGAGAGATATGTGTATATACACATATGCAATAAATGTCAGTCACTAAACATAAAGCAAAATAAAAAGTAAAAGAAAAAACGAATGAATTTCATGAATGAATTATTATATTCATTACAAATATTAATATAATAAATAAAATATATTGAGAATGAATTTTATGATCATAAGAAAGCAGCATACGAAATGACGATTATAGCAGAATCCACAATGAAACCTCACCTGGAAGAAGTGATCACATCGTATTCTGCATTCTTATCTCCCTGTACTTCTGTGAACCTATAAACGGAATGAAATCAGGAAAAATAAATCAAATGGAAATGAATATACAAAAACACAACATTGAACGTATAAATAATTGAAAATAAATCATAAGTTAAATATATCACAACACAATATAATATAAATTAAATCGGTTTTTTTTTCTCTCTTCTTCCATAAAATAAATATGATATATAAAACAAATGAAACACATCGTTATTGTAATTGAATGAATTATTAAAATAAAACTTATGGATATTGAAAAGATGTAAAAAAGATATTTTTTTACATTATTGTACATTGAAATGAAATATGTCAGAAATAAAAGATGTGTACGTGACAAGTTTGGCTACAATGTTTGAAAAAGACTTGGTACAATAAATAAGAAAGCTAGTAAAGCAGTTAGTGACAGCCAAGATGATGTAACATATTCTCTATTTTCCAACTCACTAGAATGATGTAATAGAGTATTAAAAATAAGTACGCAAATAATAAAATTTTGAAATAAATTTTTTAATTCACGACTTGTTAAAAAACTATTCTTAAAATAAGTAGATTAAATTATAAAACACACTGAATAGCACACGCCAAATTCTGATTTATAATGCATCTAAAATTCTTAGTTAAAATAGTGATATAATTATAGTGATATACATATGCAGTGCATATACTTACAAAATATGTCTATATATTATTTAAAAAATATGTTTAGTAATAGATTAAAAATACATACACTACAGCCTATATTATAATCTATTTTTATCTAATTGAACAATATTATATATTATTAGAATGATTTTTATTTTTGAGAACTCTCAAAACAGTACATTTTCTAAATGCCTTATCATGTTATATAATATATAAATTTGTAAAATAGAACTATTGTCTATTTGATATAAAATAAAATACATAAATACATAGTTCACACCCATAAAGAATTATAAATATAATATATTTATAATTATTCAATAAATATAACAATAATGTATATTTTTACCTATGTTCATCCTTAGCACTTGGAATAAACTTGGAACATTCTCTTTTTTGAAAAGTTGCTTCTATCCAACTGCGTTCGGTTGCCTGAAATATAAAATATAGAGATATAACATGCATATACATACATATATATATATATCGATCATTTAAAAATTAATATATTTTACTTTTATTATAATACATAAATAGAAGAAAATCAATAATTTTTTCATAGTAGTCTTTAATGATCTATAACATGGCAATAGAGTACTATAAGGTAAAATACCTGAAGTAAATCCTTGTTAATAATTTAAATGAAAGAAGTAAAAAGAAAAGAAAAAAAAGAACAAAAAAAAAAGAAAGAAAAAATTACAATGACAAAAAAAGAAAAAAAAAATACATATTATACCTTTGCCTTTTTTCTCTTGACTTTAGGAGTATTTGCACCGCAAATAATATTTCCAATTGCCATGATGATACATGGAAATGCAACTCTTGTGATCACTAAATCTAATCAGTCTATAAATTTGACAATATAAATTCCATTGATAAATAATAATTAAAACATATTAAATTAATCGGTTAGAACGTAAACAAAACGATGATACATATATATATTATTACAAAAAAAAAAAAAAAAAAAAAAAAAAGAAAAAAAGAAAAGAAAATAACATTATAAAAACAACAAATAAAGAAAAGTACAAATGCAATAAGAAAAAAGTTAATGTATCTTTTTGAATAATTCTCAGAATATTGTAATTAAGAATACTTACTAGAGCTAATAATAATGAAGAGTTACTACCACCACATGTCATAAAGATAAGATAAATTAAAAAGATAAGAATAATAGACATCAGTGAAAGTACTTCAGGAAAATATTTTTGCCATACAAATTGAATTGGATTATAAGTCCATGTTATTTGGATATATTAGACCAAAAGATAAGATATATATATACATATAAAAAAAAAAAAGGGGGAAAAAAAGAAGAAGAAAAGAGAAAAAAGAAAGGAGAAGAGAGAAAAACAAAACAAACAGGATTTTAGAAATAATTAATATAAAATTATATATATCCATTGGAGTCTTACCATTCGGCTGGATTTATTCTTATCTATCATTCCTATGTGCACATAACGCTTTTAACATCCACGATAGATGTGGATATTTTCTCAAAGGAGTCATGAGAATCACATGATTTGACTACGATATGATACAATAATAATTACTTCACATAAAAATCCCAATTAATTGGAGACATCTGCTGAAAAGAAAAAGAAGAACAAAAACAGAATAAGGAAAGAAAATAAAAGATATATATATATATATATATATATATATATATATATATATCATGCGTGAGAAAAAATTAAAGAGTATTAAAATAGTTATGAAATGACGAACATTGATCACGGATCATAATATAATAATAAAAATAAATTGAATTGAATATTGCACAATAAAACGTAATTATCTATGGCAAATGTTTCGTATTGCGTGCCATATCGGTGTTATTTCGAACGATTCTTTTATTTTTATTTTTTTTTGTTTCTTTCCCCCTCACAACTAAAACGTCTACGTAAGTATTTAAATACAATGGATAATAAACACGTACGAATGATATCATCCAAATTTGAAATCGAACGGCGGGAAACGAAGAGCCTGTCATACCTGTCCGTTGTATGCCTAACGACGAGCTAACCTTTCTGTCACGTTTAATTCACGGGATTGCACATGATCCGTTCGCGTCTTATAATATTCGAAGGATCGAAGTTAAACTGGAGCAGAAAATAATTATTCATGGACTTGAGCGTTTCTTCTCTCTTTTTTTCTTTTCTTTTTTTTCTTTTTCTTTTCTTTTCTTTTTTGCTAGAGAGACGCGTGAAGAAATAGTGAAAATAGAGATAACGAATATGAAAATATATAAACGTTTTGACCGAACCAAAAGAGTAGAGATAAGATCCTTCGTTGATTATTGTAGTGCATCACGCGCGTGCATCTAACATAAAGAAAAAAAAAACAAAAAAAAAAAAAAAACAAAAAAAAAATAAAAAAAAAAAAAAATATGTATAAACTGTTATCGGTTATTTTTTTCTTCCTTCGCTTTGTTTTTCTCTTTTTTTGTTCTATCTTCTTTTCTTTTCTTTCACTTGGAAAATTCCTTTAGCTATTTGATAACTATTTTTGCGTTGGTGTTCGATCACTGCCTTGCGAATAAATTGAATTCACTTTGTCGTACCAAACAATTAACACCAATCACTGACGTTTGCAGAAACGTTCACGATGCACCCTGATAACGTTCCGAGATACATGTGTACGAAAAAGATGATATATATATATATATATATACATATGTATATATCACACCTATTTATATATATATATATATATATATATATATATATATATACATACATATATATATATAAACTTTCTCTGGGTGCTCGCTTGATTTTTTCGTTTCCTTTTCTGCGCATTAACTACCAAGAGTCCATCCGTTTCTTTCTATCGTAAACATTTTAAACAAAGAAATTACCATTTTCTCTCTATTCTCATTTAAACACTATTCGCACAATATCTCATGTGAACACTTTTAATTGCAACCCTTTTATCGCGTGCCAAACTGCCTCCCTTGCGAATATCGAGTACGCTCCCCCGCATCGTTCAACGATAAACTAGGCCAAGATCACCTTTAACCTCTACCAAGCGAATTAAATCTATTGGCAATACTGCGATATGAGATTAAACGCAGAAGAAAAATTCTTTTTCTTTTCATTTCATAACGCGTATGGTTCCATATAAAGTGATGGAAGAGGGGGGAGGGTAGAAGGAAGGAGGAGAGAATTTAATTACTAATCGACGATTTTCTTTTTCGCGATATATTCATTTTATTGTAACATAAAAGTTGAAATTGCTTAGGACAAGGTTATGTATTGTAATTTTATTCGAATTTTATATTTGAAATAATCGAATAATAATGATAACAATGGTTTTCAATATTAATAAGAAAATTATAACATACTTCAAATCAATATAGTTAATACGTATGATTTAGAAAAAAATAATTTATTTGGATCAGATGAACATTGACAGTGGAAAAAAACATTTATTATATTTATTCATTCTGGTTTTTCAGGAAACGATACTTTAGGTTTACCATTATTTTCAGATTCCGGTTTACTTGCTCTATTTGATCTAAGAACTGCGCCTGGACTTGGATATGGTCTCATTTGATAAAGTGGCCCCGAAGCTGTAGTATCTGCACCTGTCTTAGCTTCGTTATGTCTAGCTAATCCATCTGACCATTTTCCTCTATAAAACATTAAAAAAAAAAAAAAAAGAAAAAAAAAATTACGTTTTGTCATAAGAAAAAAAAAAAAAAAGAAAAGTATGAAAGTATAATAGGTGTATTTTTTTTATACCTTGGAATGTCACTGTAGGACGCTGGATCCATAGGATCCAAAGTACGATCCTTTTTGTCTTTGTTTTCAGGTTTATCTAATCTTTGATGTCTTTTATTGTCTGCACCTTTATACTTGCCTCTATTTTCTATTTTACGCTCTCTTTTTGGTTCAGTTTCATCTACCTGTACATAGAATGATTCCAAAATTTATGGTAAATAATGTACATATTTATATATACATGAGATAAGTGAAAAAACACAAGTATTTACTTCCATAGGTTCTTGTTCACTTCCACTATCATCACTTGACATATTATCATCTTGATCAGCTGCTTTAAGATGTAATTCTTCACGTAACTGAGACGCCGGTTGAGATATTTGACATTTAGGATGACCAGGTGGTAACCAAGCAACTAAATCTGATGACCAATCCCAATAATAATGCTGGCCTCTATATTTTCATGTTAATGATATATTATAAATTAATCACCATTTAATAATATATTAATATGTTACAGTTTACTTACGATCCTGGATCATATACTGCTTTCCATGTTTCTGGTAAAGGATACCTCTGTATTAATTTCATTTGACGTTTCAAATATTTATCTGAAGGTTGAATATGACCAAGTCCCCATAACTCTTTACATTTTTTTGTACATTCATGATAAATATTATATTTATTAGGACAACCACTGTAACCCTGTTAAAAATATATCACATAAGATCTTTTCATTAATAAATTTAAATTTCATATTAAATTTATCCATACCATAAATTTTTGAGAAATATCAATTTCAGTAATTTCATCCTTTGCATTATCATAGTCCTCAGCAATTACCTCTTCGTGCACCTTCTTTTTTGCTTCTTTCTTTGTAGAATCTATAAATTTAATATGATAATAATATAAGTAAATAATATAAAGAAGCTAAGCCATTATTTCTTTTCTTTTCTTTCATTTTTTTTTTTTTTTTTTTTTTTATAGAACTTATGTTTGACAATGAATTTCAATTGTAAACAATTATTTCAAGGTTATGTCATACCATGTTTTTCTGAACCCGATATAAGTCCACGTTTTGCAAGACGTGCAACTAAGGCAGCAGGTAATGGCATTATTATTTCCAATATTATTCTTACACTTTTATTTTAATAAACATGTAAAATATAAACTTATAAAGTATACGCCAATGTCGTTTTGTATAGTGTACGATAAAATTGTGAAATAATTAATAATTGTTTTTGGAAATTATGAACATAAGATAGGATTGTTAATAAATAATGATAACTTTTGATATAATGTAAAATTATTTAAGTCACATTAAAAAATAAATTATTTCTTTTAACTTTCACGCTTTCAATTATTATCGATTAATGCTACATGATCGATAGGATAATAAACTAAAGTAAGCTAGTAGTTCAAAGTATATAAGAGATAGCGCTTTTTTCAATGTAGGTACATTCGTCCTTTCATTCGTATAGTTAGTTTTATAATATTCTTAATATATTAAAAGAAAAAAAAGTATTTGACGTGAAATTACATGAAAGCATAAAAAAAGAAAACAATTGAAACATCATGACAATAATAACAGTTTTAAGTCGGTCTATAAATTTGAGCCGATTATCGCAATTGAATATATATAGTTCCAAGGTAAAAATTCTAACCTCTTTATAATTGGATAATAATTTAGATAAAAATAACTTGATATGATTTAACTTTGTCATTAAATTTACAGCAAAATGTACGATTTTGGTCAACTCATGCAAAATTTGCGGAGCATAAATCTATCGAAAAAATTAGAAATATTGGTATATCTGCTCACATAGATTCTGGCAAAACGACATTGACAGAACGTATATTATATTATACTGGACGTATAGAAGAAATGCACGAAGTAAATACTTACAAATACTTATTAATTATTCTTTATTTCATTATATATTATTATATTATATATATAATTGTCATTATAATAGGTAAAAGGTAAGGATAATGTTGGTGCTACAATGGACAGTATGGAATTAGAAAGACAAAGAGGAATAACTATTCAATCTGCTGCAACTTATACATTATGGCAGGATCATAATATTAATATTATTGATACGCCTGGACACGTAGATTTTACTGTAGAAGTAGAAAGAGCTTTACGTGTATTGGACGGGGCAATATTGGTTTTATGTGCGGTCGGGGGTGTTCAATCGCAAACTCTTACTGTTAATCGTCAAATGCAAAGATACAATGTACCATGTTTAGCATTCATAAATAAATTAGATAGAATGAGCGCTAATCCAAGAAGAGTATTAGAACAAATGAGAACAAAACTAAGACATAATGCAGCTTTTATTCAATTACCTATTGGTTTAGAAAGTAACTGTAAAGGAATAATAGATTTAATTTCTCAAAAAGCATTATATTTTGATGGCAATTTTGGAGAAATTGTAAGGGAAGATGAAATTCCTAAGAATATGAGAGTTGGTATGTAAGAGAAAATATATTGATTTTTTTTCTTTTTTTTTTTTATATATATATATATATATATATATATATATATATCTATATATATAATTGATAAATATTAATAAATCGTGTATAATGTATTTGCAGAAGCAGATGATACGAGATTAGAATTAATTGAACATTTGAGCAATGTCGATGATGTGTTTGGTGAATTATTCTTAAACGAGATAAAACCTACAGAAAAAGATATAAAGGATGCAATAAGAAGATCCTGTTTAAAAAGAACATTCACTCCTGTTCTCGTTGGAAGTGCTTTAAAAAATAAGGGAGTCCAGCCATTGTTAGATGCAGTTGTTGATTATTTACCAAATCCAGGCGAAATTGAAAATTTGGCTTTTGATGAAAGCACTGGGTAAAATTTATTTATCAATGTATCAATTTATATTTAACAATTAATTAAATGATTATTTATAGTAATTTGTAAAATAATTTTTTTTTTTTTATTTACAGCGATGAAAGTAAGAAAATTGTTTTAAATCCTATGCGCTCTGACAAGCATCCCTTTGTCAGTTTAGCTTTTAAATTAGAACTTGGAAAATTTGGACAATTAACATACTTTCGATGCTACCAAGGAATGTTGAAAAAAACAGATTTTATTTATAATACTAGAACAAATAAAAAGGTTTGTTTGCTATTTTATAAAAACATATATAATTTACATTATTAATTTTAAATATATATATATATATATATACATATTTAGGTGCGCGTAGCTAGATTAATTCGTCTTCATGCAAATCAATTGGAAGACGTTGATTCAATTTACGCCGGAGATATCTTTGCATTATTTGGCATAGATTGTGCATCAGGTGACTCCTTTGTTACCAATCCAAAGTTACAGTTATCTTTGGAATCAATTCACGTGCCCGATCCTGTTGTATCTATGTCAATTCAAGTAAAAAATAACAAAGATCGTGAATATTTCTCGAAAGGTATATCAAGATTTACAAAGGAAGATCCGACGTTCCACTTTTACTATGATACAGATAATAAGGTAATAATGTGTAAAAAAAATTTCAAGATTTTTCATATTGATTATATCCGTATAATAATAAACGTAATAATGTTAAAAAAAAAAAATACTAACGTTTTTAGGAAAATATAGTTTCTGGAATGGGCGAACTTCATTTAGAAATCTATGCGCAAAGATTAGAACGTGAATATAATTGTCCGGTTATACTTGGTAAACCTAAAGTTGCATTTCGTGAAACATTACGAGAACCATATAATTTTGATTACCTTCACAAAAAGCAATCTGGTGGAGCGGGTCAATATGGACGTGTAATTGGTATTTTGGAGGTAAAAGAATACTTATACATATATATATGTATGTATATAAACAATATATTTTTTATTAGAGGATTACGATTAGAAACAAAAATTATTTTTAGCCATTGCCTCCCGAACAAAATACTGAACTTCTATTCTCGGATGAAACCGTCGGAATGAACATTTCGAAACAATATATACCTGGTATTGAAAAGGGCTTCAGATTTATGTGTCAGAAAGGATATCTCAGTGGACATAAATTAGCTGGATTGAAATTTAGATTGATTGATGGTATGCAGCATTGCGTTGACTCTTCGGATTACGCTTTTAATTTAGCTGCTCAAGGAGCCATGAGAGATGCATTCGAATCAGGTTCATGGTATATTTTAGAGCCCATTATGTTAGTAGAAATAATAGCACCGGAAGAATTTCAGGTAAGATATATCCAATGATATCAAATTTAATAATCAATATTGAATTTAATCGGATAAATTATTTTTCTATACTTAGGGTACCATAATAGGACATGTTAATAAAAAGCGAGGCATTATAGTTAACACAGACATCAATGAAGGATGGTTCATTATAAACGCTGAAATACCTCTTAATGATATGTTCGGTTATATAAGAGAATTACGAAGTTCGACCGAAGGCAAGGGTGAATTTACTATGGAATATTCAAGATACAGTCCATGTGGATTAGAAGTACAAGAAAAAATAGTTACGGAATATCAACAATCTTTAGAGTTAGGAATACAGCAAAAACGAAATTAAGTTGATAACAAATTATTAGGATCAATTCAGAATTGCATATATCATACAAACACACACACACACACACACACACATACATATATATATAAAAGTGATATAATTTAATTATTAATAATAAGCGAATTAATTATAATTAATAAAACTGGTCGATAACATTCAAAATATTAACGACTATGATATAAATAGCGTTCCATCGTAGAGATTAATCTAAGAATAATAAGAAATGTTATATAATTTGTAAAATAAATTTTACGATTGTAATGCGATAGAATATTTTGAAATATGTTGTATAAATCGAATAAGCAGAAAATCATTTGAAAAGTACCGCCAAACGTTCGTGTGAAAGGTTTGTAGTAGCGCCATCTTGAACAATCTCGATAGGTGGCGTCGCGATCGAAGAGCGCGAAGCGACACGTTAACAGTATCTCTTGGATCAGTAGCGCAGTGGCAAGCAAGGAAGGAGGGTGGCTCGTGCGCGCTTTAATCTAACTCCCTTTTTTTCCTGTCGTACTTGAGGACGTGTGTGTGCGTGTCTCCTCGCGTAGTGGGGTGGTTAGATCGGAGGAGGTCCTCTCACTCACTCTTTTTCTCTTTTTCTCTCTCTTCCTCTCTCTCTCTCTCTCTCTCTCTCTGCTGTCTGTCTATCTATCTGTCTGTCTATCTGTCTCTCTTTTTCTCTTTCTCTCTGGCAGTCGTGCTTTCGCGTGTGTGTCCAAAAAAAAAAATGTAACATGGCGATGGTCGCGTCGAACATGAGCGGCCACATACAAAAGCAACTCACCAGGAGTCTCGAACGGATCCTGGAGGAGGCTCATCTCAGTGGCGAATTGAAGTTGAGCGGCAGAAAGCTCAAGGATTTTCCAAAAGTCGGCAAACCTGGCGCTGCCAAATATAATCTGCAGGATACAGTGATAGCCGGTAAGTATCGTTTTCTCTGTATCCTTGTCTTTCTTTATATATATACATATATATATATATATCGCTTTCTCCCTTCTCTCTCTCCCTCTCTCTCTTCCTAATTCTTTATTTCTAATATAAGTTCATTGTTAACTCGATCGATCATCGCATTTCTTTTCCCATTAACGAAGTTACAACGTAGAAGAGAAGAAGAAGAAAAAACTTTGAACGTTTTTTACCAGACGTTTTCAATTTTCTTTTAAAAATTCGTTTGCAATGTCACTCATGACAAATGAGAGATTGAATGGAAGAGAAGAAAAAAAAAAAAAAAGAAAAAGAAATACAAGTAATGGAAGAATAAGAACCATCAAAAAGTATAGTTTATTATGATATATATACTTTTAATTCTATCGATTTTTTGTCAATACGACTTCAATTAAGGTTGATCGAACGTGTGACAGTTAAGTATCGTAATGTCAAGATCGCGATTCCGTCTATTTATTTATTCTGTTACATAGCTCGTTTATATATTTATATATTATATATTTTATTTTACGAAATTTAACGTTACAATATAATATAAATAATTAAACAAACATTATTAACGTTAACATTATAGTTTAATTAATATCTATGAATCTGTCGACTTATCGAAACATAGAGGATCATCGAATCTAACCAATCGTCTTGTTCCATGGCATTTCTAAGATAAAACGTATATATGGTTTCTCCAAGTGAAACGCACGACGAACTATGCGTTCGTGTCGCGACAGATCGATTACTGTTATCTGGTGAGTTTGTTCCGGTGTTATTATATATTACACATTTATTATGTATATTTTTATGGAAAATAATTAGGAGAGAATTATGAGAGAATTATGAGAGAATTATGAGACAGAGTGACAGAGAGAGAGAGAGAGAGAGAGAGAGAGAGAGAGAGAGAGAGAGAGAGAGAGAGAGAGACAAGAACAATCTAACAAAACAATGGATTCTCCGATTTATATATATTTATATATATATTCTCAATAATTGTTATTTTTATCCTTAAATTATATAAATTTATTTATTAGGAAATGTTTTAGTATAATACGATTAATAGGAACGTAAGATCACCGTAAGATCACCGTAAGATCACCGTAAGATTACCGTAAGATCAACGAACAAAACAACGATTCGTATATCTTAGAAATAAATACCGTAGAGCGTGAGTAATCTCTCGAAAGAGTCAAACTAGCGGTGTTCCGTAGAGAACACGTGCTATTATACGAGCCGTAGATTTCCAGAAGAACGTGGCACGTGCGACTTGTATACGATATGTATGAATATATCCTATAATCAAGGGTGTTCAGTCTAAACGATTTATCATTCTTTTTATTTTTCTTTCTTTCTTTCTTTCTTTTTCTTTTTTTTTTTCTTCTTTTTACTTCGACAGACTTCGAGAGATGAGTTCTCGTTATTTTTTATTTTATTTCATTTTTTATATTTTTCCTTTTTCTTTCTTCTTCTTCTTTTTTTTCCCCCCATCTAGAAAAATTTTTATTTTAATTAATATTTCACTGTATTATATATTTTTTATTTTATTTCATTTTATTTTATTTGACATTGAACATTTTCTACTTTTTCACGTAACATTTATTTACACGTTAAACATGGAAATACATTTATTTTATTATTTCGACCTCTATCTAGTACGTATTTATTTACTTACTTATTTAGATTTGATCTCTCTTTTAATCTTCAATCCTGAAAAAATTGGCCAAGCTTCGAGAATACCTCGATAGATATGCAATTATATTTGTATATCAGTCACGCCCACGCATGCACGCACGCATGCACGCAATCGCACTTTGGCACGTTAAATTCTATCTCACTATGAGATTTTCTGTTGAGTATATTGGCTATTCGATATTCACTTCGAACGAAATGAATCTTTAATAAAATTTCACTTATATCGATGCACGATCGATGTTTCTCTCTATCAACCGGATTTACGTATTAACGGCAAAAGCCATTAATATTCCCTTCGAGCCATCTAATATAAATTTTGTATCACCTATATTTGCGAATAAAAAATCGTATTTTTTTTCCTCTTTTTTTTTTTTTTTTTTTTTTTTTTTTGCCATATCAATAGTAATTTTAACTAAGATCAATTTTTTTTTAATCAATAACTGTACGATCGCACAATGGTGTGCAGTTTTTAAACGAGAAAATATAACAAATCTATTGGAAATATTATAAATATTTAAACACTCTCACAAAAGTTTCTAATGTTTAACGGGTGTCCGACTGAAGAATAAATTTCTCCGATTATGAATCATAATTTTACCGTAGATCATATGAACCGTTGTAATATAACTGTTAGAAAAAAAATTTCTCTTCTGTCCTTTCTACGAATAATAATAATAATAATAATAATAATAATAATAATAATAATAATAATAATAATAATGATAGTATTATAGTCGTTTGATTACGATAATCGGAAAACCGATAAATATATTTTCATCGTAGAAAGTTCGTCAACTTGTTTAAATAAAAGAAAAAGAAAGAAAAGAAGAACTTTCGCGCGATTATCGATCGAGGAAAGTTTGATTGTTCGTTGTTGTTCGTACAGCTTTGCGAACAGGTTTGAATGAAATTACGACGATCATTTCTGGTCACGCTCGAAAAGATCGGCACTAGTCTAGAATGGGATGTTTTACGCTCGAGTTACGTTCGATCGTTTCGAGTATGTCAATTTTGCGATCGTTCGAAATAGAATACGCGTGTGTTTTTTTCTTTTCTTTTTTTTTTTTTCTTTCTACATTTTTTTTTGCATACATATATTTTTTTTTTTATCTTTAAACGCGTTACATTCAAATTATGATTATGAATTTATTATTTGCAATCTCTAACAAAAATTACATTTGATTAATTATTAGGACAAACAAATTTTTTATTTTCATTATTTTCGATTTTAACAATGCTTTCTGTTTCTTTTTATTTTAATTTATTTTAGTTTAGTTTATTTATTTGTAATTTTCTTTCTCTTTCTTTTATTTAATTGACGTGTTTCAATTTTCGATGAATCTTGCGACTTTCGATTACATATTTTTAATCAGCTTAAGAAAGATGTAAGCAGAAGAAGAAGAAGAAGAAGAAGAAGAAGAAGAAAGAGCAAGAGAGAGAGAGAGAGAGAGAGAGAGAGAGAGTAAAAAAAAGGCACATATGATCTGTAATTCTATCAAAATTACATCTAATTAATCATTAGAACAAATTGATCATTATTTTCGATTGTTAATAATTCTTCTCTATTTTTTATTCATATATTACCTTTTTCTTTTCTTTTCATCTCTTTTTTTTTTCTGCCTTTGAATAGAAGTTAAATATTTTCGATAAATTTTGCGGGTTTCAACGGCAGGTTTTTAATCAGCTTAGATATGCTGAAAGAAGAAGATGAAAAAGAGAAAAAGAGAGAAAGAGAAACGGTATGTTGAGCCGCACATCCGATCGGTACGATGACCGTCGAAAGAAGAGTTTATGGCTTTACGTAACGCACGCAACTGTATATACATGTATATGTATATATTGTATATGCATATATATATATATATTTTTTTTTTTTTTTATAGTAATGTATAAGTTTTTCACATAAGCCATCTGACGGGATGCCGCTTTTACGATTGTTACTTAATTGCAAAATTATGGGCCCCTGGGAGATATGTAAGATTCGATTATTGGTACTTTCCAAAAAATGAATACTCTTGTATTCCTTAGGCTATATACATTCCTTTCCCATCATCGCACCATAAACGTCAGATAAATACTAATGTACGATCTCGCGTGCATGTAGGCTTTTACATTTGATGTTGTTTTTTTTTCCTTTCTTTTTTCTTTCTCTATTCTTTTTCTCTTTTTCTTTTTTCTTTTTTCTTTTTTCTTTTTTACAGCCAACGCCCTCATATTAATCTATACTCTTTCATAATGTACAATTTTATACATGAGGAAGAAAAATTATTCTTACGATATTACAATGATAATAAAATGATTTAATTCGATGATCTTCAAAGGATAACTTTTGGCGTTTTTTATCTTTCGACGATTGATTTTTCAATATTTTTTTGATAATTTTATAACATCTTTTTTTCTTTTTTTTTTTTTTCTCTCATTTAAAATGAACAACGGACACCGTCGTATAGTTTGAAAATCATTGGTGCTCTGTT